TTATTTGTGCAAAAATTGAAGCCAGTCCTTTATTGGTGGTCCCCAGGCAGTAAGATCTCTCTGCAAATGTCACAGATTTATGAGGCTTTTTTCCTTAACGCTCCAGCCTTCAAAGTGCCTCTCTGTGTATCCCTGAAAGCCAGACCCAGGAATTGCTTCTTTACAGGAAAAAAACTCATTGTTCTTAGACTACACAAGTGGGTCACTGAACTGTTGCTTGCCTTTGCGATGCCAGTGAATCCAAATTAGCTTGACTTCCACAGAGGATATAGGGAAGGAAAGCAACCAGCATTAATCAGAGCAACACAAGCAGCTCTTCCAAAACAAATTAGCTTCAACAGTCAGCACACAGAGTCCTTCAGTCAGTGTGGCCAAGCTGAACTTAGGCCAAACTTTGCGTCAAAAAGAGTAACTGGTTTAATATGTATCCGTGGAGTCTGCGTTTGTTTCTTTTTCTTCCTCTCAATCCATCTGCAGGAAGCTATGAACAAACTGAGCAAAGTAAAACTGCTCATCTTGTTGCAGCCAGCCCCTCTGTGTGATGTTCAGCCCACTTAAGTTAATCTCAAAGGCAGGCACTGAGACCATCGGGTGTCTAGATCTCCCCTTTTTTTCGATAAAGGGGTAGGTGATAGAGATGGGATTCATTTTCCCTTGAAATGTTTGCGATGTAATTGCTATCATCTGGACTTTATAGACAAAGGAGAGAACAGACTTCTCCAGAGAGGCAGCCATCAGACCTATGTCAGACATCTCCTGTGAGATGAGACAAGGCGTGGGCTGGAAGAAATTCCTCCTTCTGGTTGATGTAAAGGGAGTCCAGACACTTAACTCAGACATACATGTGTCCACCAAACATATTTGGTCCAATAAATCCCTACTTTCCAGAGAGCAATTTGACCCATGTTAAAATAGGTGTTTTAAGATAGGTGGGTTGAATCATTTTCTCTAGGGACATGGACAGTGACATTTCAGGAGACAAATCTGGGCCATTGGTATTAAATGGCAAGGGTCGTCATTTCTGCTTTAGGTCCAAGAGTTGAGAGCCTCACAGTAAACAAAGGCACCAAAGCAAGTCTACTACAAGAGATTACTTCTGGCTTCTCTCTGCCAGACTTGTTCGCCTCTCAGTCATCTTTTAAACTTGAATTTTCTAGTGAGAAGTAGGACAAGAAAGTAAAATTGTCAAGTTTCTGTGACCAAGAGGGGTTTTGTATGGGAGCAAGCCTCTGTTCCTCTGCTCCTGGTATCTATATCCAATATTTATGCTTTCATTTGCATTTTGACCCTGCATGTTCCTACAGGTAATGCAGTCGCCAAGCTTAACTGTTACCTGTAGTAAAAATAAGTTTAAGCGCAAACAATTATTCTGTAATGATAATAATTTAAAATGAGAGGAAAAAAACCTGCTAATAATTTAAAAAAAAAAAAAAAGTATTTTTTCCAAAGCTCTGACAGCTCCCACTAAACCTTTTATGCCTCTGGCATGTAATACCTTTTTTGCTCATGATTAATTACAAATTCATCTACCACATCCTGTATTGCAGCACAGATATAGCAAGTACCTCTCATCCAGTATAAATCAAGCAGTGCTGAAATCAGAACATATACAATGATTTACAATGGCTGGGAAAAATTTATGGAAATAAAGTGAATATGACATATATTTTTTCTACATCATGGATAGGCATAATGGGTATTGCTATTTTTCTATATGGTCCGTAGAGTCTCTGTAATATCTGACCGCCACAGAGTCCTTAGTGAATTTACTTGGCGAAGCAGGGAAGTGTTACTGTCAGGGGGTGAAGTCTACAGCTGAGAAGAGGGACTACAGGCAATAATGTGGATGCCAATTATGGTACCCAGCATGGACTCAGGGACTTCCTGTGGCATCTAAGATCAAGACCATAATGATAAATTGAAAACATCTACTTTCCTGAGCTGTCTGATCCTTCCTCTTAGAAGAACAGTGCCCAACCCTTCTTCTGAGACAAGCTGCCTCACGTCAGATGGAGACACAGAAGGGTTGCAGCTTGGTATCTCACCTCTGTATGGGGACCAGCGAAGAGTTATACCTACCTGCATGTACATGTCCATTGAAAAGGGGGAAGATGTGCAGGTCCATAAGGTAGGAGATGGGAGAGGACAGAGAGGAGGGAAGCAGAATCATTTGCAGAACCACCTACTGCTCCCTTCCCTGGGCTGAGAGCAGGGGCTGGCTGCGGGCTGCACGGAGCCCCACAACCTTGTCCAACCTGAAAACTGGCCACCACTACATCACTTACCATCCATTTCCCTCATACGTTCTTTATTATTGTTTTACAGTTTTTGAGGGGGGAGTGGTTGTTGAGGTTTGATTGTGGGCGGAGGAAGAGTTTAGATAGGGGGCATGAGAATTCACAAAAAGTAATAAAACACTACTGTTAGCACGCACACCTCAAGATGAAGGAGCACCTAACAAAATTTAAAATGCAGGCAAAGGAGCTCAGCAGGAAGATATTTACATGTGTTTAAACATTTCCATCATTTCAGGGAACTTAAATGCCTTATTTTGTACTAGTTAAAGAAAAGCTATTTACTGATGCTTTGTTATGTTAATGTACAGGTTGGAACTGGTATGCCAAGTTGTATTGGTGAAGTGACTGCATTGCATTATATGCAAACGTTATGTTAAATCTTCAGTAACTTAATCTTTATTCCTGACAGAAATCTGTTCATTAAGGTCTATGGTAGGTCTTAAGCTTGAGTGTTTCAGCAAAGATGACATTTCTGATTTCTCAATTTATGTATATATTTGTTGATATACTCATATAAATACTACACACACACATGCACATATACATATAAATAGGAATAAATAACAAATGTATGTAAGCCAGTCTGCATTTACAGGACAATCATACTGTACTAGAGGTTGTAGGTAACAGCCAAACAGATTAATGAATTGGCAGTTTAACAAAAGAAGGAAAATGACTCAGTAAGATTTATAAAACAGTCTGTGCTTTTGATCTCTGAGCAGCACAGAAGAGTACAGAGGGAATTTAAAGTGTATAAAACTATGGCAGCTCCCTTGAAAGCAGTTCACCCACAAAGCCATCTGGCTGATTGTTCTCCCAGATCCATCCTAGATATTTCTAAAGCAGCCAAAACCACACATATAACCTGGAAGGATGGCCTATACTCGCACTGTATTAGGTGTATGTATGCGAGCGGCACCAACATCGCTTCCTACAAAAGCCCTTGAGGGATATGTGACCTTCTTGTCACATTATAGAGACAACATCCTTTCAGATGTAAGATGAGCAGATAATCACGGCACATAACAGAGGAGGCATCATATGTCATTTGACAAACCCCAGACAGCAGGTCAGCAACCGAAGTCACAAAAACTTCACCTCATTTTCTGTCCATATCTCAGGGAACCTCATGAAAGAGGTGACAAAGAGCAAGCTGGGATTGCATGCACTTGTCTAGTCATTCTCATCCAGTAGTGTACAGGATAGCTACCTGTCCTCTACAGGAGATCTGGATTGCACTTTTTCTTTGGCAGCAGAAGTTTCTGAAGTGGTATTTGTCTATACAGGCTTGTTTCAAGGGCAAGGGAGACTGTGTTTTCCCATAAATACCAGTCAGCACACATTTTTCCCCTAGCAGCAGTTGAATTGCTAAAACTGGCTATATCTTCATCTTGATCAACATATCTGAGGAATAAAGGGCCTCCTAACTGGGCAGGCTGTTTCAGCAGCTCCTGCTGGCTGAAGAAAGCAGATCCTTTACACTGTGCTGCGTTCATTTTCTGCCTGACTACTCTTTGACCTTCTTAGCCAAAATTGTCATTAACTCATTTGCAGGTTTGCAATCGGCTCTACTGTCAAGTATTAAATTTATTCTAGTCTCATTTTAGACTTCATGCAGTAAAACCGCAACAGGCTATTTTCAAAGCAAATGCAGGATTACGTGCAAGGTGACACACATTACCTTGAATATATGTGCCTTTAAAACCAAAATGTAGCTGAAGACCACACTTAGTTTCTGCAACATCAAAGTTCTACAAAAGTTGTTCTTATTATCCACAATTGGCAAAGTACGTTTCACCAGAAAATGAGCTGTAGATAATTTTAAAATCACATAACTCTTTTCAGTGGAGTAAAATGCCTGTGGCTCTTATTCCTTTGGTCTCGAAGTTTGCCCCGGACCTTCAGAATTCATTGTGTCCAAGGACCAACAAGGAGGACCTCAGCTACAGTTTGTCATAACAAGACTCCAAATACATGAAACTCAATTTGGACTTCAACAAACTGATTTATGATTGAGGAAAAAAGGAAACTAGCAGCTTTTGTTCTGTTAATACAATGCAAGCAATAACAATTTTTTCTTTGTTCGCTCTCCCCCACCACCTTCCTCCCTAGGAATTACTAGCTGTAAGCATCAAAGAGTTCTTTCTGGTCAAGCTATTTTCAAAAAGATTAATGTTTTGTGTGTGTGTGTGTTTTATTCTTGCATCAATGAAGAAAAAGAAAAAAAAACAACCAAAAAATTGACCTTCAAATTGCCTTTAAAAAGTGCTGAATGCCATTCCCATAGCTGTTATTCACCAACCACATCAAGTCTTTCAACAACTCAGTTGTTCTTAAAAAGCACTGTTGTCTGATTATAGGGAAACACTCCAATAAGAAGCACATATTCACTTAAATGATGCACTTTTTATGAAGTCTTTCCAAGAACAACAGTAGTGAATTGTTGAGTTTCCTACTGGGAAATGTGTCTTTAATATGCAGATCTCTTAATGACTACTGTAATGCAAATTGTCAATGCTACAGTAATTTCATCATATATATAAGAAAAAAGTTTAGCTCTTACTTAGAGTATGCTTTATCATCTTTCCAGGTAGCACAAATCCAATGCAGCCCATGTGCCATGTGGTTCACAGCCGCCAAGTGTTCTCTTTATTTTAAATACTATTACTGAATGTATCCATAGGGTTTTTTAGACCCACTTACTTGGTGCTGACTGGCTTTTGCCAACTGCTCATTGGCTGATTCTACATTAGAAGATGCAGTCTCAATGTTGGCTTCAATACTATCTGCAAATTAAGATAATAGAAGATAATTACAGGGTACAAACCTAAAACAAAGACTTTATACCAACAGCAATTCAGCAATTTACTCATGGGCATAAAGACATCAGCAGCCTCTTGTTTGCAAGCTGTAGTACTACAGGGAATTAGGAACATCACCCATTTTGATGAATACCTAACCCATCAGTCAGAGGCAGTATGACTGACAGCTCTCCATGTGTCCCCAGACAGGACGGAGGTCAGCAACTCATCCCATTCCCACTGAAACCAATGGGAAGACTGACAGAGAATTCAAAAGAAAGAAGGTCAAGACTGGTAAATGGACTAGATGAGAGTTAAATTACAGAAAGGGCATAGCAGACTGTATCTAAAATTATCTCATTATTAGAGCTCAGGGATAAGTTTCATCTGAGTACTTGTGGGTTATTGACCATCCCCAGGTGTCTGTACTTAAGCAAGTCACCTCGGGCACTATCACCATCATCAGAGAGCAAGTCCATAGTGTGCAATTCATCCCACTCTACAGTAGCTGCCTGCTGCTGATCATATTAGACAAATCACAACCTAAACTCCTGGATGACATTTCCAAGCTGCAAGGGAGGTCTGTACAGATGGCTCAGATTGAGACACATTGCCTGTACCTAAAATTAAGGGAGAAGAATCTCACCCTAGATTGCTAGGTATGATGTGGGGGGAAGCTGGAGGAACCATGAGGAATCAAAATGCGACTAAAAAAGAAAGATTATCAGCTACATGTTGCAGCTGGCAGCTCCCTGCTTCCACCAAAGACAAGTATTCACTTTGACTCCAGAGCGGTGCTTAGAAAGCAAGTCACCTATGGTATAAAACCTGCAAATAAGGGTTTGCGTTTCCAGCAGAAATCTTAGAAATCTTGACCAGCTTGTCCCCTAACAGATGTGCAGCCAATAATTCCTGGCCACAATGGAAGATCATGTGCACTTGGTCTGCTTCTATGTGTTTTCAAGCAGATATGACACCATGGAGTATATGGAAAGGATCAGGAGGAATTCAACCACAGGTAGAAATTTGAGAATAAGGTTCCAGGGATTCCTCTAATCCTTAACAAAATTAATGGAAATTCTTCAACTGATGGTATTAGGAGTCAGATTAGGACATGCCACAGAAGATTTAAGTAATTTATTCTTTTGCTTTTGAAGGAAAGAACACTAATTAGTCTGGCCACTTTTGTGATGGGTAAAGAAATGAGGGTTTGCAGATAAACTGTGGAAAGTGGTTGTGTTTGGGTTTTGCCATTTTTAAGTGAAACAGTGTTGCAAGTCTGTTAATGTAATTATGCATTTCTGATAAGACAACTTAAAAACAAAAGAGCAAAGAAACCACAAACCAACAGAACCGTGGAATAAACAAACTTCACCTTAACACTTAGAAACCTGTTAAAAGTCTTGTATTACACCTGGGAGAGATGGTTTTCCATTCCTTTTATGTAGTAAAAAACTACATGGCCAGCACTTTTATAGATTGATATAGCATCATTTTATTGGCTATATCCTATGCTTCTCAAACCATTTTTATTAAGGCTTTCACACCGTGGACCTTGGTTGGCATCACTGACCTCTGCCCAAATCTTTTTCTTGCATTCAGGACTCAGCAGGAAGAGACCAAAAGGCTTCCAAGGAACTCGACCTCTGTCTATGAAGAAATATCAAATTTTCTTCTACAGAGCCTTAGAGGAGCTGCATCCACACACATGCACACACCAGTGTGACAGCCTTGAAGAGTTGACTTCCAGTATTGCATTGAGCTGAAGGCATTTCTGGGAACGTGTCAGATTTTTCTTTTCAATAAGCGGAGAAAAAAATGGTGCTGAATTACCAGAAATGATGAACAGAAAAATGATTGGCATGACAGCACACTGCAGCGAGCAGCATTTTTGCCATGTGAGTGGATCTACCCAGGGTCTACCTCAAACAGGTGTGCCTGAGAAACAAGGTGTTTCTTCTGAGCGAAACGTGGTAGACAGATTTCAACCTGTCACTTGATAATAATCTCCACAAGTGCTATCACTGTCAATTGGTATCACACTTCTGTTTAAAAAGAATAGATGTCCCAACTCCAAGGCTGGCCCTGATGTCTTTCCATCCAGACATTGAGGCTGACCCACAAATCAGTAATTGGTCATTCTATATATTATTTTATACGAGTAGCAGTAGAGGCACACTTGATGTTTTCTGGTTAGAATTGAGAAACAGCTGAAAAGTGGGCTAGATTGGCTTTGTAGGACAGGGGAGTGCTTTCTTTCTGTGTTTGCACGTTAAGACAGTGCTGTGTAATTGGCAACTACAAGCCCCAGTCCAATTTCCAGCACTGTGTATATAAACCTCCTTGCATATGGAAACAAAGGGCATAAGGCAGAGAACCCAAAAGAGTTAATACATCATTAACACAGACGTGATTCATCAGCCAGAATAACTTGTCACTCACCCAAGGTGACAAATTCTTAGTTGCCTAGTTGTTGACAAGTATTTACTTGTATGTTTAAGCATGACTACATGATACATAGTTAAGCAGATTGGTTTCACCTAAAAATATTTTTATACATTCTGTGGAAGTCCATAAGAACTTGCCACTGGGACAACACCAGTTTGCACCAATTGAAGTTCAGATCCTGACAACTCAAAGCTCCAACATGCCATAGCTTTCCTACAGCCAAGCTGTTACACATGTTAGGGAGAAAAGTAGGAAAAAATCAGGTAAAAAAACCTGAACCAAAACTAGGAATATATCCTGCTGGGACACCTGCTAATTTTAGAAGCATGAAGTCTGGCCATGGTTTTGGGTTACAAAATACAACCTTGCACAGGAAAGCACCTCCATGTTTTAAGCTACTTTGCAATGGGATTTGGAAGGGATGGGGGGAGTGTGCTCAAAGCCTTGACAATTACCTAATCAAAGTAACAGAACTTGCTCATGTATCTGGCGTTTCCCAGGACCTTAGTGCAGACATCCTTCAATACTCAACACCTCTTAAAGGCTGATTGTCCTCAGAAAATTAATAATTTAGGCATAGAAAAGCTACAGAGGAGAACTTTATGAAAGATATCCTACTGAAACAAGAGTAACCTGTCTGTGCTCCTCTTGGGGCAGGGGGAAAAGCACAAAATGAGCTTAATTTATCTTCCTTAAATGGCCCTCCAGAGGAACCTGGCCCTCTCTGTTGCCTGCAGGGGGGCCTAAGGAAATTTGCCTTCATTAGATAAAATTAAACATGTGAACGCCCCCTTAGCACTGCATGGAATTGGCTAATCATGTTATGCACTGTGTTTTGCAAACATCATCTACATTTTTCCCAGCACAGGCTTTCACAAGTAGGATGGACGTGTGTGTTAGATGTCCTATATGAGTTGATGTGATGTTACAGGAGGAGGCTGGACCCTGGTGGCACTGTTTCTGCTCACTTTTTCTCCTAACAGGGGAATAACAACCTTGGAATAAGCAAACATCCCAGTTAAAAAATTTTTTGAAGCAACTTGTAACACTGAGACACAGAGAAAAACTAAAACAAACAATAAACCACCAAAACAGCTCTAAAACTCTAGCAAAATGAGACATAAATAGGCAAAACAATTTAACTAGGTATTTCTGCTGATTAACACAGGAAAGCAAGGGAAGGAAAGAGAATTTGGGTCAAATCACAAGGAAGTAAGTAATAAGTCAATGATGAATGTGTTCCTCAGCTACTTCAGGCATCTTTGCTGAATGCTAGTGATGGTTCACAGCTTCACCTTGCTCGTTTTCAGGCTCCTTGCCAAGGTGCATTGCTTGGGGATGGAGAGGCAAGTATTTCCAGACAGGCGGTAGGATCCTAGGTAGAGTGAAAAAACCTGCTGGAGGGGTCTGCCTTTTCCCTTCTCTATGGCTTTGGTGTGAAGGGACAGTGACTCTGTTCCCAAAGAGGTGAAATAACCCAGCCCTTAGTCCAGGATTTTCCAAAGAGCCTGAATCCCACAACAATTTCCTGTCCTCAGTCTACGATGACAAATTTATGGTGCGGTTTGAAAACAAACAAAAACCTTAAGGCAACGTGATCACCATTTTATTAAACTGAGGGACAGGGCTGCACCAAAAGCAGATGGTGGTTGCAAACAAATGCACCAAGGAATTAGGAAAAAAGATTTCTAATTTTCCAGCTAAAATACATCCTTTCAATAGGAGCAGCGAAAGTGACAGAGCCAACCAGCTTTTAGATATAATTTGATATGTTTCTATGACACACTTGTCACTCAGAGATAGAAATCATGATGACCCCAAGAGGTGTCTTTCAATCCTATTTACCTGTCTTCTGAGATCGAGCCCTGCTAATGACCAAGAGGAGTCTTATATGTGAAATTACTGGATTGACAGTGGCTGGAGTGGGGTTTTTGTCCTAACATATCAAGGAATCCCCCGTACGACCTGCACCTTTAAAGCGGCAAGAATGGACTGGTTTCACGAGGCAACACTTTCAGTAAAACGGCTTGAAAGACAGGAAAGTGAGCCTGTGAATGAGAATTTTAAAATGCTCCCACTTGGCAGTAACCAAAATGGCCCCCTTCAGGTTTCATACTATGTTTTTATTTTTAGCGCTTTAATAAGCTTAACCCTCTTTTATCACTACAACTTCCGGCTAAAAATAATACATATAACATACTGAGAAGCACAATAAAAAAAAAAAAAAAGGAGTATTTTGATAATGTATAAAGGTTTCTTTCCTAATTAAAAGGAAGTTCAGAGAGATGCAAGTTCGGAGAGAAATTGCTTTCAGTGTGAAAATGAATTTTGCCCATTCTAATTGCCATGTACTTGGAGAGTTTTAAGTGAGTGTCATTCCACGAACAAAAGACCCTCAGGCTCTCTACAGGCACAACTGTGGATGTTAAGGGGAAGGAAAACTATGACAGCTCTTCTGGAGTGAAGTTTAAAATGGCTTAGGGTTAGTCATTTGCAAACTTCAATGTAAACATCATGTTATAAATTCCACACACGAA